AAAAAAAAAAAAAAAAAAAAAAAAAGAGGACCCTAAGAAGGGCCCCAGAAAGGGGAAATAGTTAAAATTTTCTGAAAAAGCTGGAATGGGGAGGGTTAAAAGGGAAGGCAGGGAACATAAGGGATCAAGAAGGCTGAGTTGGGGGAGAGACAGAAAGGGACAGCAGTGAAAGAGATATCTTGATAGAGGGAGCCATTATGGGGTTGGGGAGAAACCTGGTGCTAGGGAAATTTCCAGGAACCCACAATGATGACTGCAGCTAAGACTCCTAGCTATAGTGGAGACGGTACCCACACAAGCCTTCCCCTATAGTGAAACTACATCCATTAACTAATGGAAGTAGATGCAGTGACCAACAGCCAAACACTGGGCTGAACTTCTGGAGTTTAGTTGAAGAGAGGGAGCAGGGATCATATGAACAAGGGAGGTCAAGATCATCATGAGGAATACCACAGAGAGTTGACCCAAGCTTCTGGGAACTCACCAACTCTGGAATGGCAGCTGGGGAATCTCCATGGGACTGAACTAAGCCCTCTGAGTGTGAGTAACAACTATGCAGCTTGATCTGTACCAGGACTTATCCCGGCTGCAAGAACTAGCTTTTTGGAGCCCATTCCCTATGGTAGGGTATCTTGCTCAGCCTTGACATAGGGTCAGTAGGACTTGTTCCTTCCTCAACTTAATATGCCAGACTTTGTTGACTTCCCAAGTGAGGCCCTACCCCCTCTGAGGAGTGAATAGGGAGCAAGAAGTGGGAAGGTGGGGTGAGAGGGAGGAGAGGTATGAGGAACTGGAGTTGGTATGTTAAAAAAAAATGCAAAAAAAAAAAAAACCTTAGAATTCAGTTGTCTTGCTTCTATCTGGCTAGGAATGCTTTCAAGAGAGCATGATCATGCCACAATAAGACTGATTGAACATCAAAGCATTTGCAATGCCTGTCAAAACCACATAAGATCTAATGAACAAAATTTCCTTCGAACTTACTACCTCCCCGCATAGTTCATTCTCCAGATTTTCTGCTCTCTTTTCCTTTGTTAAATATCTTAGATGCATACACACCTAAGACTTGTGTCTTTGTTACTCCCCTCTGTGTAATTTTCCAAATAAGCCTGAACCTCTAGCTCTTTTATCCACTAACAGGAATATATAGCAGATTTGTTTAACCTAGTAAGTCTCATTCTCAACGTATAAAATGAAAAAAAAAATGACTTTCTCTAAAGCATTGTTAAGTATTAAATGAAACACACATAATGCCCTGAGAACAGCATGCAGCAGGAGGGAACAAACAGAAGTGGGATTTGTGCTAAAATCCCCGGCAGATGTTTTGAATAGCCTGATTACCACTTCAGTTCCACAACCTGAAGGTGCATTTGTGAAGCACTTCGTTATATATTTAAACACTCCAAAATATGCATGATTTCATGCTTAGCAGTAGAAACAACTCTTAGTATAAATTACGGTTGTTTGCAGAGTTCTTCCTCCTGAACTACTGGAATATTTTTAACAAATTCATACACAGTCAACCCCTGCTCCCTAATGCTTGATGTGAACACATAATTACTGAGCTTTCATGCTTAGAATGAGGACTTTGCAGTACTGGAAGACAAGGAGGGCTTAATCACTGAGATTCACTACGCTATTGTCATTTGCATAGGTTTAGAAGTAAGTATATTTTAGAGTGTCACTAATCATTGGATTGTGACGAGGACACAGAGATAAACAGAACTGGATGCTTTGAGGGCATTTACTGGCTCTACAACTTTCCAACTGCATCTGTGGGGAAGCAAGTTGTTTATCCATCTTCAGACTTCCCTTTTCAGCTCGGAAATAGGAGACCGTGTTTACTAAATTTACTTTTCAGAGTTCAGCATAAAATCAGTAATCAGAGGCTGGCAAAGAAGAGCTAGGAATAGGTTGGTCTGTGGGTACAAGTTATTCAAGCTCTGGTGGATAAGATGTACGATATACTCTTGATAATTATAGTCACTGTCCAGTATTTAAGCTACAGTATTTGAAATGTTTTCATCACAAAGATGCATAATTTTTAAAAGAAGATATATGTTTACCTTTTTCTGAGCTGCTCAAAATGCATATATGTTTAAATAAATAAATAGCTGAAAAATACTTTAAATATTCCTTACAGAGCTGTTAAATGAAAAAATGAAATAGTGTACAATTAAAAATATCCTAAAAATCGATGTTCAGTCAACATGCCTATTCAATTTACCATGTATTGTGGTACTAGCACTAAATGATTCAAATAATTATTATAGTTCCAGAAAAGTCATGATTTTCTTTTATGTATATTTATTACCATCCTTGTATGATAAAACTCAATCTTAGGAAAGTCATATAACATGCTATTTAGATAAAAATTAAAACTTCAACACATCAGCAATGTTATAGAAACCTCTGATGGATTATGATGCCACTACACAGATATATTAGATTTCTACAAGATTTACGTAGTTCAGTAAATATTGTGAAATAACCACACTCATTTGTCAGTAAATAAAATAATAACTTGTGTCTAGAGCTTACATGAAATTAATTGTGCCAACAAAAATGGAAAAACATAGCCGGGTTTTCCGAGGTTTATAGTGAGATTGTGATATGAAGGTACTAATATACTTCATTATTTGGTTAAAGAGTAGGAAAGCTCATTTTCAAATATCCCATTCATGAAACACTATTGAGAATTTAGAAAGCTTATGAGCTCTCTAAAAATCTGTCCATGTCTGCTATGCAGAATATTAACATGACAAGACTGAAGAGATTCTAGCATGACTGATATCAACAGTCAATATGTGCATCATAACTCATTGAATGTGGGCAGGAACAGAGATCAATTTTTAAAACAAAAAAAGCAAAGGTACCCTTTTCCGAGTCTTCTCCTTCAGGAAAGGCCGGATCACAGTGTACAGGGCATGGATATACCAAGGTTGGTTGACGAAATGAATTCCTCCAAATCTTGCGGGGAAGCTGTCCTGGAGCAACACAAAGGTAGAGAAATCAGTACAGGCTCTTCTACACTGGAATTGTCCAGGAAACATTGCATGTTACTTCATTATGTGAATCTATACACTAAAGAAAAAGGGACAGGCCTTGTCACAGTGAGAATCTCTGAAGAAAGTCCAACAGTAAGTAATAAAGTGAATCCTTCTCAAAAACAGGTTAGTAAAAGAAACTTCAACATCTTTCATACTGAAATTTAAGCCTGCTAATTTCTAACAGTTATCGGCATAACAGAAACACAATAAACAGACAGATTAGGAAAAGGTATCAAATACCAGATTCAGATAGAATAGTTGTTTTATTTGAATTATTTATACTTATAATAAGATATATTTAAGTTTAGATATTTTCTTGACTTCAGTAATCATTTGTAATGCATTATATAAAATGTATTTTGTAACCAGTATGATGGCTCTGCAAAAAAAAAAAAAAAAATGCTTGCTGCCAAGCCTCAAGATCTGAGTTCAATCCCTGAGACTCATACGGTGAAAGGAGAAAATCCGCAGTTTGTCCTCTGACCTTCAAATGTACACTCTGGTGAACCCATCTACCCCTGACCACACAATAAATAAATAAGTCAAAAAGAGACTCAGTGGATGTGGTTAAGGGCACTTGACAACCTGAGTTCAAGCCTGGGAACTTGCATTGAAGAAAGAAAGAAAGAAAGAAAGAAAGAAAGAAAGAAAGAAAGAAAGAAAGAAAGAAAGAAAGAAAGAAAGAAAGAAAGAAAGAAAGAAAGAAAGAGGGAGGGAGGGAGGGAGGGAGGGAGGGAGGGAGGGAGGGAGGAAGAAAGGAAGACCTCTTATAAGATGTTCTCTGACCTCCACACATAGCTTGTGCTCCTCTGCATGCCAAAATTTAAAAATTAAATTAAAATGCAAACTAAGGTACATTAAAACATCCTTATTCTCTTTACATCATTTCTAGGCTTTATTATAAATGTCTGCCTTTCCATACTTCAAAGAGTAAAATGGAATCATGCTTAAGTAAGATGAAAACCCAGAGTTGTAGAACAGGAAACTTCAGGATATATTCAGTGGGTTAAATGAGCATCAAAAATGCTCTGAGTTCACTCCAGTGGAGAAAATAGGAACTCAGTTAAAACCTACTTTCACTTTACCAAAATGTACCTGGGTAAGCTCAAGACCAGAGTGATGAAACAAGTCTGCTCTGCCTACCTGTGGGTAGGAATGTGCACTTGTGGCTCAGTGCCTAGCATAAAGCGATACCCAAGCCAGATGACTCACAACCTTGACACCTGATTGGATATGCTGAGGACTCTTCTCCAAAATCCCTGACTCCTCTATCCTCCAGTTTGTCAAGTCCACAAGAATCAGCGTCACTGGCCCTCATAAACACATGAGTGAAAGCAACAATATAAACTCCTCTAACTAATCTTGTCTTTCAAGTAGCACCATAAGTAATGAGTATATTCTTGTGCAGAGCATAAATACGAATGAATAAAAGATAAGGGTCATGGGGAAGGAAAGTCTAATGTATTTTTTTTTATTTAAGTGTACTTTTGAATAAGGTTTTCTGATCTAAAACATGTGTCAGTGTAAGAAAATAAGCTGTTTTTAATTGGGATACTTTATAAGTATATAACTTGAGTATGTGTGAGTGTGTGTGTTTGGTATATGTGCATATATAATTATATATGTATTTATGTATATATGTCACATAGCATCATTTCTGATGTTCTGCACATTTGAGGGTGACTACACTTGCTTAATGTCACTGTAATCCAATGTAACCCATGAATACTATGAGTATGGTATGGTATATGGTAACTGACTTATCTTCTCTCATTCATGCATGCCATTTTTTAGATCTTTTGTATGTTTGTCATGGCCCACATTAAAGCCCTCAAGATATCTGTCACGTGCACATTCAAGAGTGTAGTAACACATTTCTCTCAGCATTGATGCTGCTTCCTGGAGCAAATGCTATTCAAGTTGACAAAACCAGCAAGAGTGACTGAATCAATTTACACTCCTCCGTCCCCTTGTACCGCATGCCAATTCCATTTAGTTTGCATAGCTGGTATATTACCACCTTCAAATTTTATGAATCTGCTAGAAATAAAATGAAGTTTTCACACAAACTTTATTTGCTAGATTCTTGGTCTCTGTACATATTTGTTATTTTCACCATTAGTAATAAATGCTGTGAGCACAAAATTACATTTTGTGTTCTTAAGAGTGTGAATTGTATGCTCTCTACTGAATTTTCTACGGGATCCTGTTTGTGGTTAACTCAACTTTGGCTAACCGTAATTATCAACCATATAGACGAAACTGGTTTGGAGATGTCTTTTCTGTACGTAAATTCTGCTTCAGTTTTCACCAGGTATGAGATGCTAGTCAACTCATATGACTTTAAGTAGATTACCCATGCTGAGATTACCCTGACTCCAGCATATATTCAGATTTCAGACACTCTTGAAATAATCATGATCCTAGGCAGATGAGAAGGCTATTAACATCGTCATTATGACTATTGATATGGTTACTTTTCAGCAAGGTATAGAAATGGCAGAGAAATTTTCTTGATGCCTTCCTGGCCAGTTGAAGCTTTATTTCAAGAAACAGCATCACATCCAGTCACCCACTTGCCATCAGCATGTGCAAGCACACCCATGCCTGAGTACCCATGATCCTCTACAACTCTGGGTTCTTGGGTTGGTGTTTTACTCCAGAACTGCCTGTACCTCAGCTGTTCTCCTGGGTGTCATTGTAGAGTATTGTCTGTGTTTGTCTTCCATTCCTAAGATTTCAACAATACATCCAGAATTATTTATGCTGTAATAAATTCAACACTCATCTCCTTCATGACAAAAAGATGTTTTAAGGATTGGAAACAGGCTGCACTGTCTGGAATAGAACTATTTACTGGGTGTTTGAAATATAAGGTGCTGACATCTACAACAAAGCTGAATGAGCATCAGTCATAAGGATATGACACTACAAGTTTTGAATCAGGATAATCAAATTTTTGACATTTTCAGGGAAGTCACTGCCTTCTCTCTCCTGAAAAACAAACAACACTGGCATACAAAGATCTTTTGAAATATACAACTGGATTGATGGAGGTAGGTCTTGTATTTATCTGTTGCTTTCATTGGTTAATTAATAAAGAAAACTGCTAGGCCCTGATAGGACAGAAAATTAGGTAGGCAGAAAAGAATGCTGGGAGAAAGAAGCTGAGTCAGGCAGTCGCCATGATTCTCCCACCAACACAGATGCAGGTTACGATCTTCCCTGGTAAGCCAACTAGTGGGCTACACAGATTATTAGAAATGGGTTAGATCAATATGTAAGAGCTAGCCAATAAGAGGCTGGAACTAATGGGCCAGGCAGTGTTTAAAAGAATACAGTTTCCGTGTAATTATTTCCGGGGCTAAGCTAGCCATATGGGATCCAGGAGGGAACGTAGCCCGCCGCTCTCCATACAACACTGGATCATACCAAATTACAGTTAAGTCAAAAAGAAATAGCAGAAAAACTCTCCACATTCCTATTAGGTTTATCTAGCTCGGAGTTCTGACTCAAATCATGTGTAGAAGTCCAAGGCATGATTATGAATTCCTTCTTCTCCTTTACTCTGATCTTCCTCTAAGCATCCACCAAGTGCTATAGTATTAATATCCCTGAACTCCAAGGTTCTTGAAGTTTCATGTGCCCAAGCAGTGCAAGGCCAATCTGATGTTTCCAAACCCCAAACTCAGTACATTACTTTCCTTCATGTTTTCCTCCCTGTGGTGACTATCTATGTCATGACTATGGACTGTTGTCTCCCCACACCCAGCATGGTTTCCTCAACCCCCTGACATATTTTCTACTCTTACTAAGCCCTTGTGCTTAACTCATTCAACATCACTTGCACAATGCTCATTTTGGTTCCTTTTCTCATTTCTCATCAGAGTGCTCATTCACAAAAGCCTTCTCTCTGTTACCAGCAACACCAAAATCCATCACTGCACTCATTTCATACCTTCTTCTTGTCTTTATATGTGTGCATGTGTATGATTTTGCACACATGTGTATAGGTGTTTATGGATATGTATGTGTGTACACCTAGAATGGATAAGAAAAATGTACATTTACACAATGGAGTACTACACAGCAGAGAAAAATAATGACATCTTAAATTTTGCAGGAAAATGGATGGACCTAGAAAACATCATTTTGAGGGAGGTAACCTAGACACAGAAAGACAATTATCACACACATGTACTCATTCATAAGTGGTTTTTAAACATAAAAAAAACCCAGTCCACAAATCACAATCCTAGAGGACCTAGACAACAATGAGGACCCTAAAAGAGACATACCTGGATCTGATCTACATTGAACGTAGTAAAAGACAAGATCTCCTGAGCAAATTGGGAGCATAAGGACCATGGGAGAAGGTAGGAGGGAAGGGGAGAGGCCGGGAGGGAAGCAGAGAAAAAATGTATAGCACAATAAAATCAATTTAAAAAAATCCCTAATCAACCTCAGATGTAGTTCTTCATCTGTCGTTTTGATATCTAATCATTTTGTAATCTCTTACTGGGACTTGGGTCTTGTCAGTTAGGTTAATCTGTTTAGTCAGTAAACCCTAGAAATCCTCCTGTCTTTCTCTCTCTTTCCCCAGGACTGGGATTATATATGTGTGCCATTACGTCTAACTTGTCACATGAGCAGTGAGTGAAAAACTTACATCCTCATAAGAATGCAGCAAACATTTTATTGACAGCCATATTCCTAAGCCCTGATAATCTTTTTGTTGTCTGTCTTTGACAATGAATTGTGAACTCTTTGAGTAGAGATTGTGAGTTCTAAACACCCTACAGGGATCACACCCAACCCTAGAGGCAGGGCATGAAAAACCAAATATGGATCTTTAGTGGAATTATGAATGAAAGATTTCTGCCAGTGAGATGAACTTCAGGTCTGAAGGACCAAAGGCAATAACAGGGACCTTCCCA